CTGAAAAATAAGAGCAAACTAAACCTAATATAAGCCAAATAAAGAAAATAATGAGTGAAACATGAAGGAGTAAGTTAGAGAAAATAAAAAAGAAAGAAAACCAATGAAACCAAAACCTTATTCTTTGAAAGATGCACAAAATTGACTTGCCAAGAAGCAAAGGGAGAACACTCAAATTACTAGAATAAGAAATTATCACCACTGACCTTTCGAAAATAAAAAGGATTATGAAGGAAGAAGACTATGAACAATTGTTTGTTGATAAATTAGATAATTTAGATGAAATGGTAAAATTCCTAGAAATGCATAAACTACCTAAACTGACACAGGAAGAAATAGATGATATAAGTACACCTATAACAATTGAAGAGATTGAGTTAGTTTTCAAAAATCAAGCAGAAAAGAAAAGCCCAGGCCCAGATGGCATCACTGCTGAATTCTATCAAACATTTAAAGAATTAATATTAATACTTTACAAACTCTTTGAAAAAATAGACAAAGAGGGACTAATTCCCAGCTCATTTTATGAGGCTAGAGTTAGCCTGACACCAAAACCAAAGACATCACCAAAAAGAAAAATACAGGCCAATTATTTCCTATGAATATGGACCAAAATCTTCATCAAAATGTTAGCACGCTTAATACAGAAATATATAAAAATAATTATAGGCCTTGAGCCAGTGCAATTTATCCCAGGAATGCAAGATTGAGTTAACATCAAGAAATTAATTAATGGAATTATCACATCATGAAGAACAAAAACCACATTATAATCTCAATAGATGCAGCAAAAGCATACATCAAAATTCAACACCTTTACATGATAAAAAAAAAATACACAACAAACTAGGAATAAAAAGGACCTTTCTAAGTTCCTCAGTCTAATAAATGGCATCTATAAAAAAAATGACAGACATTATATTTGATGGTGAAAGACTGAATCATTCCCTCTAAGATCAGGAACAAGATAAGAATATTCACTATCATTACTCTTACCCAACATTTTACTAGAGGTTCTCTCCAGGACTACTAGGGAAGAAAAACAAATAAATGAAATCCAGATTCAAAAGGAAGAAGAAAAACTATTTCTATTCACAAATGATATTTTCTTGCATATAGAAAATCCCAAGGAGTTCACTTAATTAGAACTAATAAATGAGTTCAGCAAGGTTGCAGGACACAATAAATGAAATCCAGATTCAAAAGGAAGAAGAAAAACTATTTCTATTCACAATTGATATTTTCTTGCATATAGAAAATCCCAAGGAGTTCACTTAATTAGAACTAATAAATGAGTTCAGCAAGGTTGCAGGACACAAATATACAAAAATCAACTGCACTTTTATAAACTCTCAATAAACAATCCAAATATGGAATTAAGGAAAGCATTCCATTTACAATAACATCAACAAAGTGAAATAGCAATAATATTAACTAAACATGTGCAAAGTTTTACTGCAAATACTACAAGACATAGTTGAAAGTAAGTTTAAAAGATTGAAGTAAATGGAAACACATCTGATATTCATTGTGGTATTTTTTCAAAATGTTAAATATAGAGTAATCATATGTATGAACCATAAATTCCACCCCAATGTATGTACCCAAGAGAATTGAAAACATAGGTACATGAAAACTTGTACAGAAATTTTTATGGCAGCATTATTTATAATAACCCCAAAGTAGCAAAAACCCAAGTGCACCCCGTCATTGATGAATGGCTCAACAAAATATGGCATGTCCATAAAACGGGTTATTAATACTTGGCAATAAAAAATAAAGTACTGATGCATGTTAAACATATATGAACATAGAAAACATCGTGCTAAGTGAAAGAAGCCAGACACAAAAGACCACATACTGTATGATTCATTTATTTATATGAAATGTTCAGAATAGGAGAATTTATGGAGAGAGAAAGTAGATTAAGCAGCGACAACTAGGGACTAACACTTTAGCGCTTAGTTCCACAGACACTGAGATAGGTCAGTAATTTAGAATGTGGCCTCTGATGTCAGAATGCCTGAGTTCAAATCCTGTCCCCACCCTGTATTAGAAGAGGGACTTTGGGCAAGTCACTCAACTACTCTCAACCTCACAGAATAGTATTCAGTTATGTTACAAAGAAAGGAATTAGTGTCTAGGCATTATTTTTTTAAAGTGGGGGCAAATTCAATTTCATAAAAATTATCCCCCAAATAGCAGAGCATACCTCATAGGACTGTGTAAAGATTAAGTGAACACTACACAGAAGCATCACGAAGATTCAATAAGTGGTAATGCAGTTGATTTTTGTATATTTGTGTCCTGCAACCTTTCTGAGCTCATTTATTAGTTCTAATTAAGTGAACTCCTTGGGATTTTTCTATATGCAAGAAAATATCATTTGTGAATAGAAATAGTTTCCTTCTTCCTTTTCAATATGGATTTCATTCAACAAGTTGGTTGATGTTA